ATGTTAGCTATTTCTCTATTATGTCTATATATATATATATATATATATATATCACATTTATTCAAAACTAAACGCTTTCTCACACTTTAATATTCACATCCTGTCTTTTAATCTATTTTGAGTTCAAATATGCATGAATTAACATTTTGAGTTTTCCCTTTACTAAGTGTGAGAACATTATTTTTCCTCCGCCCTATTTAAGTTTATTTATTGACAACAAATATTTTCATGCGCATTTGAATCATTGTAAAAACATTTCGTTACAAAAACAACCAGTGATACATTTGCACTGGTTCCTTCAAACAATTGTTGCTTATAAATTTTACATTTTTTTTTTCACGGTAACTACAGGTCTGTACTCAAAAATGTATTAAGCTTATTTAAACACCAAAAGTGGTGACATCTATACACCAAAATTTTTTTACAGTGTAGATATAAATATACTGGCTTACAAAGCGCCCTCTATGCAGAAATATAGATTTAAAACTAATTATATATGAAAAAGAAAAACAAATATCAGTTGATTCAGCAATTTTTTTCAAATAAATTTCATAATCAAAAGAAATTTTGTTTGTACGGAAATGAAAATGTATCCTGTCCTAGAATATATTCTTTTATTTCTTAAATAAGATTTCTTTAAGTTGCTAATAATATAAAATAAGAATATTGAAAAAATAAATAAAGCACATAGACCCATGGGGTATGATGTTAAAAAATTGTTTTCAATTTGTAAAATATTTTATTTACATAAAATTATTTAACATACTACAAATTCATCATTGTAATTTTCGTTAGAAAGGTATTTTTAAAATGATTATACCTTTTTATTGAATTATACATTTCTAAATATGTGTAGTTTTAGCTAATTCTACGCTCTTGAGTTTCTATTTCGAACTTCTCTTTGATGCACTTTATATTTGATATTCTTACTTACTTTTGACTAGGAACTTTTCGTTTATTGAATCTTCACCTAATGGGACCTAAAAGTAAAGAAATGTAATGAGACGCTTTTCAGTGCAATTGAAATTGTAAACTATATTATGCTGACAAAATTAGTTATCCGGTAACTCATTAAGGTAATGCAAATATAAATAAGGGAGAGTTGGATAAAACGGAATACCATATTATTTTTATTTACTAAGGAATATCTGTTAAGGAAAACCATGCATTATTTTTTTTTGTAGCTGCAACATTTATGGAAGCATACAAAAAACATATTTTAAATTAATTTTAATGACTGTGAAATAGAAAAAAAAAATCATTTCCAAACTCTTACATATCCCGTTTTAGCATACCTGGGTTGGATAAAACGGGATATGGTTTACAATGTTTAATTTTTTGCATATATATAAATATAAAATTATAAATAATGCAAATATATAAATAATATTGTTTATATATAAAAAAGTTCAAGTCTTCATCAGAGAAATACATTACAATTAGTTCTAAAGAAAGATGTGAAATCCTAGAGTCGAAAATAAAAGGCTTAATAATGAACGTTAATGAACAAATTTTGCATTACTATATAAAGAGACTCAATTTTTCAAAAATATATATAGCTAATAAAAATAAGTTGTTTAAAAAGCCTAGGCCTACATTAATATATATGGATATTTTAAAATGTAATAATCCAACAAATAAATAGGTGGATAAAACGGGACATAAAAAACTCTATCCCGTTTTATCCAACTCACAAGTGTCCCGCTTTTGAAACAAACATGGCTGCTGCCTAAATGTGAAAATAAAATTAGATAGACTGCACATAAAAATATTGGTAAATAAATGGTTAATTAAATTTAATACTCACCGGAATTTTATTCCCATATATGTAGGCAGTACAATGTCAAAAACAACGCACGTAAATGTAGAAAATGGCAAAAAAATAGAGTAAAAAAGTTCTGAGATCTACAACTTTCTATCAAATAGTGATCTCGAGGCGGGACGCACCGAGAATGATATAATAACGGTCGAATAACACGTTTCTGTCGTTGTCCACTAGATAGCTGCAATAGTCTGGTCCCTAGGCGACGTATCCCGTTCTGTCCGACTATCCCGTTTTATCCAACTCCTTCCTACTTGTTTTGCAATAATAATTTAAATTTATGAAATTAAAAATTTAGTTATAATATTTTACTGAGTTTTGAAAATGAACTTTGAATTAAATATTACAATTCGATTACAATATACGTGAATCAGTGGTCCGAAGATTAATTATAAAAAGCGCTTGTAACATTTAGTTGATTTTTAGAAAAAAAATTTGAATCAAAAAAGGTAATTTGATCGCAGTTTCGAAGTTAAAGTAAAAAATAAATACAATAAATATGAAGAAATTAAAAAATTTATTTTGCTTGCTTTGCTTTTATTTTTACAAACTAATTAATAGAAAGAAATGTCTTGCTTTTGTCTTTTTTCCTATTAATTTTTATCATTCAATTTGCACAGTCGAATGTTGAAAAGGGAATCTTATAAACCTCTTAACAAATATAAACTCATATTTAATATTTTAGTGAATGTTAATACAAATATACATATTTGGGTAAGAATTGAAACTAAAAAAAAAAAACGAAAATAAAAATTAAACGCAATTAAATATAAACTTCTTAACACCAGCCATCGGCAATAACAAAGCGTTTCGAATATCACCTAAATTTTTACGCATGAAAACAATTTTTAGTTCTTAAAATTATGCATTTCTTGCATTAAGCAACTGGCTTATTTTTAATCAAATGATACGATTTAAAATTTTAAAAAGTAGAGTTTCACTCAGTTAGTAGAGAAATAAAAATACTTCAGTCATTAAAAAGTCGTTTCAAAAAAAAAAATTTAAATTCTAAAGTATATGAGAATTTATCCCATTTTAATTGCATGGCACATAAAATAACATTTTACCAAAAAAATTTCTATTCCAAATTACCATATTTTTGCATAGTACATATTTCCAAAATATTTTGTTTTATAACTAGGCTATTTTTAATCAGTCACAAGTTTTCAAATAAAAAAAAGTATAATCTCACCTTGATTTTGCTAAGCATTATTTACGATGTTTAAAATCCATATGCGTATCGTGCGTATCCTCCATATCCAGGGCCATTGTTTTCAAATCCTAAACCGTGGCCATCATAACCACTATTACCAAGTCCGTATCCGTTGTAACCAAGACCATATCCTTCATTTACAAGTCTGTATCCGTTGTGACCAAGACCATGTCCTTCATTTACAAGTCCGTATCCGTTGTGACCAAGACCATATCCTTCATTTACAAGTCCGTATCCTCCAAATCCAAGTCCGTAACCATCATTACTAAGCCCATATCCGCCATATCCTATGCCATGGTCATGAGATTTTACAAAATATCGTGTGCTTACTCCGTGGCCGCCATGTTTACCGTAATGATGGATGACGTCTTTGGCATAAACTAAAGCAGAGCATGCCAAGAGAAAAAACTGAAAAATAAATATATTTCACTGTATTCATATCCATGATTTTATAAAAAATAGTCCAAAATTAAAACAAAATTAAATTAAGAAGGCCATTAAGAAGGGTGTATCACAAAATTTTTAGCTCTTCGAATAACAGAAATTTCAGTTCAATTCGATCAAAAGTTGCTACTGCTTTCACATATATAGCAAAACGTTTTTTCGAAAATTGAGAATTACTTAGGTGATTCTTAAGTTTCATATTTGTGTGCCGAAAACATACATTTTTATTAATTTAATTTTCGTGACTAAATAATTTTAAAAACATATCAAAGTAAATTTCAGTTTTCAGGTTCTCATCATTAAGTTTCGAATGAAGAACAACATTAAATATAATAATATATAGCAAACTAATCTTCTAGAAATTACTCAAGAGTCTTAATTTTTATTTAAAAATACATATATGATGGATATAATTCGAATTTCAAATAAATCTTTAGGTTCTCATGTAGATTACAATTTTAATGTAGATGCCGAGAGGCAAAAATGTTTCATTTTATAATTGGGCTTTTTAAATAATTTAAAATTTTCCATTCCCCCCCCCCCCAAAAAAAAGAATACTTTTGACTTCTTTGGGAAGTGACCATAAGTAACATCGTTTATCGACTGAAAATTTAATGTAAAAAATTCTCCTATTTTCAAGGGCAAAATGAGAAAATTTTTAAGAAATGAATTCAGACGTTATTTCTTTTATTTGATAAGCATTATTGTCATATTTTTTTTCTCTTTTAAAACACTTTAGTTGAAATAAATATTAACAAGTCTTAATAAATATTTAATGAGTTTTTTACTTAATAATTTACTATTTTAATTTAGAGAAAACTAGAAATATCCTGTCGTTTGTTGAAATGATAATCAATTTGAATCGAAAATTTGTTTTAAAATGTCTTAAAAATTATTTCAATAAAAGTACTCTTATATTTCTTTTGGAAAATAGTTGGAAAATGGATAATTCAAAACTTTTTTAAAAACTGTTCTCGCTTTAATTCCTTAATTTAAATTTTCTTACGAGAGAAAATTCTTTCTCAACTTAATTTTATTTACAGACAAAACGTTAACAGAACTGTACTATTTGTGAAATAGAAAATAAAAATTTATAACTTTTTCTTCTGAGACAACAGTTTACCAAATAAGGTTACAGCTTAAGTTTATAAAAATTGCTTAAATCAAATATAAAGTCGAATTTCAAACCTCTGCTTGCCCCCTTTATAAAATCACGTTAAAAACAACAAGCTATAATATGCTAATACTTTTGAAATTAGATTTCAAGTCACAATACTTTTTGGGAAAAATTGAAGACATAAATATTTTTGCATATAGTCCAATGAGTTCCCTTTTAAAACACATTATTTTAAAGTCCTAAAACAATTTTTAAATAAATGATAAAGAAGCTTAAATTGTTCTGTGATATTCAAGTTTGCTGTAACGTTCATTGGCAACATTATAAACTATTTATGGTCATTTTACATGAAATAAAGTTTAAAGACATAAATATTTTTCCATATAGTTCAATGAATCCGCTCTTAAAACACATTATTTTAGTGTCCTAAAACAATTTTAAAAAAACGATAAAGAAGCTCAAATTGGTCTATGATATTCAAATCTGCTACAACGTGCACAAATGATTCATTGACAAGATTACGAATTCTTTATAGACATTTTTTGGACATTTTATATAAATTAAAAATCGAAAAAAAATTAAAAAATAAATTGAAAAAAAAGTTAAATAAACGCTTTTTTTTTCATTTACAAAGCACGTTATGCAAAAATGTACCTGTATTATGAAAAAATTGTTTTTAAACCTATTGCGATAATATTAGACGAAAGTAATGGTATCATATCACAGTTTTTTACGATAATCTTAAATTTGTCTGGAAACTTTTTAATGCCAATTTTCAGTTTTAAAATTTATAATAATTTAAATTTTAACAGAAAAAGTAAAATCTATCGACTCTCTACTCGACTGATAAATGATAGAAAATAATTATATTACAGAATTCACAGAAATATTACTTATCAAATTCAAAGAAGTGTAACCTATCGAATTTCAATTTATAATAAGAAACATTTAATGAAAGAAAAGAATAAATATCAAATAGCTATAATCATAAATAAGTACTTACCACAAATTTGATCATTTTGTTGATGGAATTGTTTTCCCTACTTCTAAGAACAATGAATAGTTTGTTCCGGATCTCGCATCTTTTATATTTCTGAGTTCTACTCTAATTAATGAGAAATATTGATTACGACACAATCAAATATCTTATTATCAAATCATAATTTGAATGTTATCTACTGTCATTTTTTTACGCATGCGTGAATTTAATGTGTTTAATACGCTGCGGAACAAAGACAGAAGCATTTTTTCAAATCTAAATCTTCGTGTGAGATTTTACGAAGAAGTAAATCTATCAAAGTACTTTTTCATTAAAAACTGATTATTTCATCGCATTATCCAACTTAGCTTCATTATTCAGGGAACACTTTTATCTAATTTACAGTAATTTCTTTTATTTTATAGGGAGGATCGGAACATATTTTTGAAGCTTTTTTTTTAAAATGTCGACAGTTTATCCTGTTGTACCATACAAAAGAATCTCATAAATCTTCCATTAGTAATTTTTTTTAAAAAATAATAGCAATTTTGAAATATTATTTTTTTTAAGTTTTGATACAACTGAAATATTGTACTTCGGAATAAAATTTTTTTGGTTCATTTTGAATAAAATGTCCTTGTTTTATTTTGTATTCCGTATTCTTATTTGCAAAAATGTGAAAAAATATTAAAAAATTCTGAAATTAAAACTTTTCTTTTGCTTTTCTGATTCATAATCAAAATAAAATAAAAAGTGAATTATGAAAAAAGTGAAATAAAAAGTGATTTACGAAATTTCTGTTATACATTTTAATTATCTTACTTTCGTTTTACTTATACTCTTCGACGGCTTCGTAGTAAATGCTTGCTAATTTTCTTCCAGTTAAACTTGGCATGTTTAAATGCTCAAAACAGGCGCTTATTACCAAGATCCACCAACACGTGATTGGTAAAAAAAAAAGTATTGTAGCCAACCAGTGGCGTAGTTTCAATTTATGCTCGAAGGGGATATTGGTTATCTCCTTCTGTTGTTGTTATCGTCTGTCATTAAAGTGGATGGAGCGAGATTTTTTTTTCAGTGGCGCCATCCATGACCACTAATTCAACTCCTGTTACACCCGTTTTTAGGCGAACCCACTCAACCATCCATTCATTCATCCACAGATCGTAATTTTGATCTTAACAGAAGAACGATCAATCTTCAATTCAGTACCCCCAGAAGTATAATTTGATATAAGAACATGGAGCACGTTATGACCCGTCAGATTTAACCTGCACCAATCACCATTTACTACACGGAGAGTTTTCAGCCGGCAGGATGCAAACTCCCGTTCTCACGAATGTGAGTCCAGTGTCCTGCCAACCTGGATATCCCGGCCCTATCTCCTTCTTATATATATATTCTAAGCGTTTAAACTACAGAAAACTGAATAATGAAAACTTTCTTATATTTACATCCTACTTACCGTACAATAGTCAATTAATCAAGTAATATATATAATTTCGGAGGGGGTTTTGTCTCCCAAACCCTCCCCAAAACTACGCTACTGTAGCCAACAAAAAAGAAGAAAATGAAATTGAAAACAAAACAAGAAAACATGAAACATATCCAGACAGGTAAATGGTGGTTCGATGAGGAATTGATGTCATTAAAAAAGAAAAGAGCATTTATGTGGATGAAACAAGATACCAGATAATCAAGATAGACTGGTGTAAAAGGGTTGGCATGAATTTCAGCTTCATGAAAGTTTAATTTATGTTCAAGGTTTTAAAAATTGATGATTCATCGAATTCTGGATGATGAACACATCTGTCGTGTTATGGCTTCACGAATGACATTGTCAAATTTGCAAACTCCTTACTGTCAATACCATTATTCATCATATCCAATTTACTTCATACAAAAAGTAATTTTACGCCTTTTTTTGAGGCTCTAGCTATTAAACATCCTGATCAATTTCCTCCCTCTGTTTAACAAAAACACTTTTGTCGTATTTTTGACCCTGTTAATTCAAATCACACTAATTGCCAAAAATTTACTACGTTTCACGCTTTTGCTTTCAACTCACGTAACCAAACTTAATTGCATACCTATGCTAGTACATATACCAAACTTAATTTCTGTTCACTTGCTGCTAGCCGCGGATTCAACCCATCTCAGCTCTTTCTTAACTTTTTAGACTCAAACGTTTCTGTTTTTCTAATTTTTTATAGTAACTTGTTTCTACATTGCCTCGTACAGTCGTTTCGCACAAAATTGTTTATATCTTGTCTTGTTTTGATATTAAATTGATTGATTGGACAATCAATAAAATCAAGTTCCTTAGCGATCCATTAGTACTGATAAACACTGACGTCATGCGTTGCTGATGCAACCTAAGCTGCATGGTGCAAACAAGGCGTTTTTGAAAATTTAGAATAAGAGAATACGACGTTAACGCCCGTCATCTATTTGTTAAATCCTTGATTGCCGCACATTGTTTGAACCTGGAACACAAATTTAACTTCGATAACGTCAGAATTTTTTTACACTTTTCGCCCCTTTATTCCCCGGCAAAGAAATGTATCCTGTTTCCTTGCTTTCAATTTCATTTTTTCCCATTTTTGTAGTGGGCATGATTATTTTTCTCATATGTTTTGCTTCCATCATTCACTGCTAAAGCACTGATAAAATAGAATGCTTAAGAAAGAGTAAAATGTACTAAAAAAGGGTATAACAAGTACTTGCCATATCTCTAAGCAGCATAGACTTATTTCTAAGAGAAACGTGTTCTCATCTTTGAAGGCAATTGCATTTTCAATTATGAAAATATTTTTATTTAGTTTTAAGATAAAAGTACTGATTTTTGAATAAATAAAAGTTCTCGATTATGTGAAGAGTTCATACTATTCTGAGTTTTATTTTCTTTTTTTATTTTTTTTTTTTTTTTTGGAGTAAAAGTAGCGATTTTATGAAATACATTGCATTAATTTTGATTTAAGTGCTCATCTTTGGAAAAAGAGATTAAATTAATATTGAAGTTCTAATTTTGATTACTGATATTCTAATTCCTGATTTATATAATCATTTCTGAGCACAAAATGGAGGTACTATTAAAATTGAGTCTCCACCTGTGTTTTACGTAAAGAAGGAGTTGGACAAAAAAATTTTTTTAATAGCATATGTATATGGTTTTGAAATATTTGACTCCTAACCTATCACTTGTTATAATTATCAAAGTTTTCTCTCAAGAAAAAAATAATAAAAAATTAAATAAAATGTCCCCCAGTAGAGCCCCTTAAATGCAGCTACTAATAATATTATTTAAATAAAACACGAATAAGCGTAATAACGAAATTGAGAGTTTACTATTTTAAATGAAGGGTTGAAAAGCCTTTTAAAAGCGTCTCACGTCACAATTGCAACGCCACCTATGTTTTAGGTATAGAAGGAGTAGGACAAAAGAAAATCTTTTGAAAAACTATTTTACAAACAGATATGTATGTGTTTTTGAAAAATTTGACTCCTAAACTATCACTGGATATTATTATCAAATGACTACTAATGAAATTCCGTAGCGTTGTAATTTTGAACAAATCCAGAAGACAAGGAAACTCCTGGATCTGTTTTGGCCGATGTTTTGTTGAAATTTTCCAATGTTTTGGCAGACATCCGTGTTACCACAGTGTTTCACGCAAACAGGAATGGCGCCAAACATAAGTCGCTAATTTCGCCAAGGGGCATCCTCAAGTATATTTATAGCAATTTTTTTTTGCCATACTTAATACTAATAAAAACACAAATATAAAGGGAAATAATTTTGTTATCAATGATCAATAAGCATTTTTGTCAGAATCGTTACAAAGAAAATAAGGTGAAAATAATAAAATTAAAAACTATTTACAATGGATCTCTGAATATTCTCAAAACCTAGCTATTTATATTTTTCATTGACTTTTCTTTTTGCATTATTTTGTGTACGAATGATTTGCACTTTTATGCATTATTTAAGAAATAGGGTAGACTATACTTGAGGGTGCCCCCGCCAAGTTGTGATCTCGATTGATCACCAAGCTGGGTGATGTTGAAAACCAATCTTGATTCTGATTGGTTTAGATTTTAATCGTGATTCTGGTTAGTTTAGAATTTAGCGTTGTTTTTAAAGGAATTTTTAAATGTAATTTCAGAGATCCGTTAGTTCTACTTTGGATACCGGCTGGTAAGGTTACTTTTGCTTCTGGTACTAAAAATGAATACTGTCAATAAGATAAATCTTTAGCTTCTGTACGATTTTAATAACAATGAAAAAAAACAGTGATTGACTGGTGTATAAATGAAGGTTTAATTAGAAATAGATATAAATGTCCTGTTTGTGGATTACCACGCCGTTCCGGGCAAACAAGTATGGCGCCAAGCATAAGTCGCCAATTTCGCCAAGGGGCACCCTCAAGTATATTTTTCCCAAGAAATATCTCAAACAAATATTAACTGTTAATTAATATTTCTGGTTGAACAATTTTCTGAAAGTAAGTAAAAACCAATTAAAAATAAGTAAAAGATATTCAGGTCTATGATATTCATGGCGATCCATTTTATGTAACAAAGATATGAGTATTTTAAAGTAAACTCCGATCAATATATTTCACACATTCGATACAAATAAAAATCTCAACAAGCTTTAGCTGGTAAGTTTAGTTGTAACATTTCTGCAGGCAGCATTTTTAAAAATTATTACTTTTTCACATACATGCGTTCTCAATTTTGATTGGCTGTTTTGTGCGTTACTAACCAGAAGTCTTCTGTGGTTGGCTATGTGTTATCATTCCACTCTCTTCTTATATATAAAGATGTATACAGTGAGAGTGCTAACTCTGCGTTTTACAGAAACTATGTTTGATATGAAATCTGTTTGAACGAAACATATTATTACTTTTGAAATTTCTATTGTAAACAGAATTTTTTTGACGTCATTAAATGATTTTAAGACTAGCAGTAAAAAAAAATTTACTGCATTGATTTTTTTTAGAAAGTTAGGACTAATTATTATTTTTTCAATCTCAGAGCCCATGGTATTGTCTTACGTAAAACTTATTTTATTATCACGTAACGTAATTTAATATACTGTGTTGCTAAATAAATAATCTCAAGAAATTTAAGAGAAAAGATGAAAACTTTAGTGATTTAAAAAAATAT